ACCACCCTGCATCCACCCACTTCTAATGGAGGGCACACATTAGGTCACACAGTGCCATATACACCAGTTCCAAGATTGCACAAATGTCTAAATAGTGGCAAGCTTGAATAAAAATTGTCCATGTATAAGTGGTACCCCATATGGAAAAAGGATGACACCAAGTCCCAAACTATCTTGCCACTACTCCCCATGTAGTCAGGCCATCCAGGGGGTTCCACGTGACTATATTTTCCCTCGTAAATCTGAAATGTATATGTATAGCCTGTTGTCCTCTCACAGGTCTTCTACATCTTGACCCCATATCTGGCACGCTTGATGGGGAGAAATTGTTTTAATGCAAGGCACCCAGAAAAATTAATGAGGGACTCATTAACGCAGATTTTTTGATGGGGAGTATAGACATCTGCTAATTTCTGGTTAAGGTGATTTACGAGGGGCTGAATGTTGCATAGCCAGTCAAATTCAGGGTCACCTCGAGGATGACAGTGTATTGTCGTTGAAATGCATAAAACACATTATACTCTCATATCTATGCCTGGCCATGGCAGCAGAGAACACAGCATATGATGAATCGGGTCTGCGGACCAATACAACCGCAATTAATTTTTTTAATAATTCCCATGTTGAGGGTTAGGCCCTAAAAAAAAAAAAAAAAAAAACACAAAAAAAGAAGAGAGAGAGCGAGAGAGAGAGAGAGAGAGAGAGAGAGCGAGAGAGCGAGAGAGAGAGAGAGAGAGAGAGAGAGAGAGAGAGAGAGAGAGACCGTAATGAGTTTCCATGCGAATGGTCTGAAGGGTTTGAATTTGGGTTGGTGGCGGGGGAGTGTGATAAATTGATCCACAATCAATGCATACCGATCTTCTGAAAAAACAGCTCCAAAAAAAACTCAAGGGGATTAGTTAAATTCCACCTGTATTCCGAGTTGGGCAGTGAATGGGGGAAGTACGGGTGCTGCAGAATTTGTGAGCTGCCAATCAGGATTTGCAAGCACATCCGGAAGGATACTAGGGGCTCTACGGGCCTGTGTGAGAATTCTTGGTGGTTGCGGGACTATACTTGTGTTCGCCACCGCACCAGTTTGTACTGCACTTATGGGACTCGCCAAGTCATACTGCAGTGCTTGTATTATTATACAGGATTTATACTTCGCCAACAGTTTGCTCAGCGCTTTACAATATAACAGGATACAATACAGAAACAATACAGTTCAATACAAGAGGGTTAGGAGGGCCTGATCCTGGGAGCTTACAATCTAAGAGGTATGTGAAAGACCATGATGTACTAGACCGCTGGTGCTTGCCAGTTCACCAAAAAGTAGCGTGGCACTAGTACTGACACTCTGCTGCATATGAGAGTCATCAAAATTTACCGGCAAGTGCCAACAGAGATCAGGCCCGATTCTGCGAACAATGCGGTTTTGTGTGCAATGTATCAAGTGACAGTGACCTACTGGCACTGAACTTGCTGGGGGAGAAGGGGGGGGGAGGGGTAAGCGTAGGGGCTAAACGCAGGTGCTGGCAGGCAGGTCCTGGGGCTGATCCCACTAACGCTGCGTTTTTGGGGACGCTATACTAATGTGAATGCTGACATAGTGCTGATCCGTTCAGAGAGAATATATATATATATATATATATATATATATATATATATATATATATATATATATATATATATATATATAATATAAATAAAATTTGCACACCTGTGCCGCCCTGTAGCAGTATTTCTGCTATAGGGCGGTCAGGAAGCGGTTACATAGGCAGTTTGTGTTACGGCATTAAATTAATTTAACTGACAATTGCGCAGTCATGCAACGCTTCACCAAAATGAAATTTAGATCTTTTTCCCCCCACAAATTGGGCTTTTTGGTGGCATTTGATCACCTGTGCGTTTTTGTTTGCGCTATATAAAAAAAAACAAAAAAAAACAAAATTGAGAACAATATTTTGGACTTTTTGCTATAAAACATGTCCAGTAAAAAAAAAAAAAAAAAAAAAAAAAAAAATCAAATTTAGTCAAATTTAGGCCAAAATGTATTCTGCGACGTGTCTTTTCTAAAAAAAAAAAAAAAAATCATCCCAATACGTGTAAATTAAATGGTTTACGTGACAGTTATAGTGTTTACAAATGGCGGTATAGATACTGGATTTTTTTTATACTAATAATAGTGGCGATCAGCGACTTATGGCAGGACTGCGGTGGACATTCTGACACTGGGGGGGAACTGACACCAATACAGTGATCAGTGCAAAAAAAAAACCACTGACACTGTAATAAAGGCACTGGGGAGGAAGGGGTTGACTTTTGGAGACAAACGGTTAACTGTCAGGGAAGTGTTTTACTAGGGGGCTGGGTGTGTACCTCTGTTACACACTGTCCAGAAGGATGCATCCAGCGATCCTGGAACAGTATGCTAAAAGCTGACAGGAAGGAGAGCTCCATTGAAAACAATGCAGCCTTCCTCCCCGTCTGTTTGCCGGCAATCGGTGCCACGGGTAGGGTGCTCGCGCGCCCCCTACCCCGGAATGCAGGATCACGTTTATATACGTGATCCTGCGCACAGGGGCAGCCTTGTAGCAGTATATGTACTGCGGGCGGTCCCCTAGTGGTTAAAAAAAATTTAAAAACAAGGCGGTTTTTTTGTATGGTCACCAGTGTCTGATCACCGCCACACCAGTTACACAACTATGCTGCACTGATGAAAGTATGTTGTGAAAATGTGATTGTGAATTTTTTTCTCTTTTATTCTTAATTCTCCAAAAAATGACAAAAGACTTCAAAAGACTTGTCATGCCTCTTACTAAATGCCTCAGACTGTCCTTTCCAAAAAGGGGGAATCTGGGGGATCACTGTACTGACCTGACGTTTTTGAGCCTCAAGAAAAGAGACAGGCCATCAGTACAGCAGGACCGATCAATTTTCAGATATACACAAAAGTTTGTGGACTAACTTTCCTACAAACTAAATATACACTGATTTGGGTTATTTTCACCAAATAACTGAAGCAAAATACACTTTGGCTTAAAATTTATGATTTGCTAAATTTTATAAACAAAAAAAAAAAAAAAAAAACCTTTCAAAATTTTCGGTCTTTCCATTTATTTAGAAAAAAAAAAAAAAAATTAAAAACCCAGTGGTAATCAAATACCACCGAAAGAAAGCTCTATTTGCATGAGAAAAATGCTAAAAATGTAATTTGGGTACAGTGTTGCATGAGTGCGCAATAGTCATTCAAAGCTGAAAATTGGCCTGGGCAGGAAAGGGGCAAAAGTGCCCGGTATTGAAGTGGTTAATCAGTGTGCCCATCGTAAAGCATTTAGCATGAATTCACAGCTCATTCAGCAAGCAAAAGGGGGGGGGGGATATATATATATATATATATATATATATATATATATATATATATATATATATAATATAATATATCTATATATTTTTTTTTTTTTTTTTTCATTCCCCCTCAAACACACACTCAAAATGGACCTTCATGATATCCTTAAGCTTCTGAATCCTAAAAAGGACCAGGAAAATAGAAGACGTATAGAATTTCTGGTCTCTGAAAGCCAAAGGTTTCACACTGGAAGAACACTGAGTCCAGGGTCAGTTGGAGGCTCTATTCAGATGTAACTGCTCATCTGCCCAAATCACTTACAGTAGAAAGATGACATTCTGTTTAACAAATGTAAACAAAGTACCAACTGCTACAGCAGCTGGGAATGTGTTTAAATGCCCCTCCTGCTGCCACCGTAAGCTTTTCAACAGTGGCAGCAAAAACTATTAACCAAGTTGTTTCAACCACCCAACGGTGCTACTTAGCAAAGCCATGTCAGTCCCAAGACTGGATAGACAAATCCTTTTGGCAGGTATAATCGGCAAAATCTGTATTAAGCATTTCAATTTAAATCCAGCTTTGCGAAGGCAAAAAAAAAAAAAAAAAAAAAAAAAAAAAAATACAAGAAGACACATCGCAATAATTTTATAACAGTTTCCTGGATTTGTACTTTTCTTCTCGGTTCTGAAGAAATTGCCCTTTGTTTCACAAATCCATTTCTCGAGTTTTGATTGGCATAGTTCATCTTCACTGTCACAAAGGGTAGCTTTCCTTTAACAGAGAGAACCCATGACAGTTTGTAACATATGATAGGATTTCTGAACAGAAATCATCAGCATGCTGTTGCTCTAACAGTCTGTGTTCTGGAGAGATTATGATGGTCATGCACCCCTTGTCCAAACAGAGTGCCTTGCACTCATTGAAAATAATGCAAGATGTTTACAGAATGGAGAAGCTTGAGTGCAAATGGCCTGCTGTGATCAGAGCACCGTATTTTTCGCCATATAAGACGCACCTAGGTTTTAGAGGCAGAAAACAGGGAAAAAAAATTCTGAACTAATGGACTGCAGTCACAGTACAGGAGATGACCAGAGACTGCAGACACAGTACAGGAGATGACCAGAGACTGCAGACACAGTACAGGAGATGACCAGAGACTGCAGACACAGTACAGTAGATGACCAGAGACTGCAGACACAGTACAGGAGATGACCAGAGACTGCAGACACAGTACAGGAGATGACCAGAGACTGCAGACACAGTACAGGAGATGACCAGAGACTGCAGACACAGTACAGGAGATGACCAGAGACTGCAGACACAGTACAGGAGATGACCAGAGACTGCAGACACAGTACAGGAGATGACCAGAGACTGCAGACACAGTACAGGAGATGACCAGAGACTGCAGACACAGTACAGGAGATGACCAGAGACTGCAGACACAGTACAGGGGATGACCAGAGACTGCAGACACAGTACAGGGGATGACCAGAGACTGCAGACACAGTACAGGGGATGACCAGAGACTGCAGACACAGTACAGGGGATGACCAGAGACTGCAGACACAGTACAGGGGATGACCAGAGACTGCAGACACAGTACAGGGGATGACCAGAGACTGCAGACACAGTACAGGGGATGACCAGAGACTGCAGACACAGTACAGGGGATGACCAGAGACTGCAGACACAGTACAGGGGATGACCAGAGACTGCAGACACAGTACAGGGGATGACCAGAGACTGCAGAGACAGCACAGGGATGACCAGAGACTGCGGACAGCACAGGAGATGACCAGAGACTGCGGACAGCACAGGATGACCAGAGACTGCGGACAGCACAGGGATGACCAGAGACTGCGGACAGCACAGGGATGACCAGAGACTGCGGACAGCACAGGGATGACCAGAGACTGCGGACAGCACAGGGATGACCAGAGACTGCGGACAGCACAGGGATGACCAGAGACTGCGGACAGCACAGGGATGACCAGAGACTGCGGACAGCACAGGGATGACCAAGACTGCGGACAGCACAGGGATGACCAGAGACTGCGGACAGCACAGGGATGACCAGAGACTGCGGACAGCACAGGGATGACCAGAGACTGCGGACAGCACAGGGATGACCAGAGACTGCGGACAGCACAGGGATGACCAGAGACTGCGGACAGCACAGGGATGACCAGAGACTGCGGACAGCACAGGGATGACCAGAGACTGCGGACAGCACAGGGATGACCAGAGACTGCGGACAGCACAGGGATGACCAGAGACTGCGGACAGCACAGGGATGACCAGAGACTGCGGACAGCACAGGGATGACCAGAGACTGCGGACAGCACAGGGATGACAGAGACTGCGGGACAGCACAGGGATGACCAGAGACTGCGGACAGTACAGGAGATGACTGCTGACCTTTGGGGAGGTGGGGAGCGGGTACATGAATTTGACAGGTACCTGATCTTACCTGTTCCTCGATCCAGCCGCGCGCTGTCTTCCCGGCTTCTGTAATGGCGCTCGGCATGACAGCCGGGTGCCCAGTGCGCATGAGTGAGAAGCACTTGCGTTTTGTGATTGGTCCGGCGGCTTCTGGGATCTGTCATGTGTCCCAGGTACCGCCTTACCATTCACAAAGCGCACCGCTTCTCGCGCATGCGCACTGGGCACCCGGCTGTCATGCCCAGTGCGCACCGCTTCTCGCGCATGCGCACCCGGCTGTCATGCCCAGTGCCCACACTACAGAAGCCGGGAAGACAGCACGCCGCTGGATAGAGGAACAGATAAGGTCCCGCTGCAGAGCTGAGCGGCCGGCCCGGTATTCTGACACGGCCGCGGTGGAAATACCGGACCGGCCGCTCCATATTCGCCTTATAAGACGCACTGACATTCCCCCCCCCCCCCCTTTTGGGGAAGAAAAAGTGCGTCTTATACGGCAAAAAATACGGTACTTCAAGTAAAACTATAGGCAAAACTTCTTTTTCCATTCGGGATAAAGTAAGGGAGGGTCACAACCTCTGTCAGATTCTTTTTCACCATCTGTGTCCCATAGCCAAACAGGACATGAGAGGAAATCCCTGCAAATAAAAGGAATCTCTTAAGGGACTCCCTGGGTCACCAGAACTAGTGTCTCCATCAGAACATTTCCCTTCTATTACTTTTCTGTGGACAACCTAAATATTAGGATGTTCTATACTTTCATGCTCAAAGATAATGGTAAACCGGACAAATAGAGAGGGTGAATCTCCTTAACAGGAGCACAGACAGCAATAAAAACTGAAAGGAGTTCCAATCCCTCGCCACTCTGTCCAAAAGAAATTGCCTTTAGTTATACTTTAGCTAAAATGAACACCGCTTTTAGGGCTGTCCGCACTGCAGTCTGGGTACACAATATATTCTTCAGTCCCAGCTTCCAGCACTTCCTGGAGGTGTGGGTGACATCACTGCACCTTTCTCAGCTGCATCTTGGGATAGCTGGACACTCTAAACCTAGTAAGAATGTGCCCCAGCCCTTTGCAGAAGTGCATTCTCACAGAATTGAATGCCTAGGAGTCACCAGCACAGCGACAAGTGTCTTACTGAAACATCTAAAGCCATGATTGAAGGACTTTTTTTCCTTTTATATAATATCTTTATTTTAAAATAATTCTTTGCAACTAATTTTGTATGGAGCACAGGGGGCTGGCAGAACTTTTTAATCGCAATCCCCTGTACAGCAGAAATCAGTAACTATTAGTGTTTTTGTAAGTTCATTGGCAGAAATAAAAAGGAAAAAAACTCTTTAAATTGTTAAAGACAGCACTAAATATTAATTTTTAACAATGGGATCTACCTTTTTAAAGGGGGTGTCTTGGTATTCATGACAATAACAAGGTGCTAGTGCATATGGTTCAAAGAAAAGGACTATAAAAGACCAGCATGATGTAAATCTTTAAACACAGCAAGGTGTGCTCATTAATAAAGCGGTTCTACAGCCTGCTTTGCAGCAGTACACCGTGGTTATGTTTTACTGCTTTGGTATTGCTGCTCTTATTCTTCGTGTGACCAATACCTTACTACAACAGCCATTATGGACATGCATCCTCCCTCTAGTCCCCCGTAGAGTGTGTGTCTGTGTGCCTTCTCAAAGTGGTCCTGTGCGCAAACAATACCAATAGTGACTGGTGCTCTTTAAAGTGCCTTTCAATCCATGACCCCTCTTTTTTGGCTACACTCACCAGATTAGATGGACCCTTTGCTCTTGCAACAGGGTCAAAACAACGCTTTGTCTGGTGGTGGATAATTGTATCTCCCCTTCTTTCCTTTACTTCAGATCATGCACTCAACACATCCTACTGTCTTAAGGAAATCAAAAGGCAGAGGAGGCCCCCATAGCGCAATACTGCTTTTATTACAGGATTAATTTAAAATGAATACACTTACAATATATCAAACAATGTGCTTAAACTTGCCAGGTAATAAGGATAACCTCGGAGCGCCGCTACTTGAATGTGTTCCACCAAACAAGACATGACGTCACCGGAAGCTCCAACTAATACATGGTTCGCCCCTCCCACTGGGCGTCTTCAGAGACAGAAACAGGACATTCAAAACCAGCAATGAAATTAGCGGCGGCAAATGAGGAAGCCTGTCTGTATACTTTCCTCCCTCACTGTATACACTGCTCATCTGCTCTCTAGCCTTTCGCCGCCGATAGGGCCATTTTCGGCCGATATGGTTCGGCCACTGGAATTTCGGTGCATCCCTACAATTTGACACAATCAAAAAATGGTCAGATTAAACAACCTCTTCCCTGAGCAATCTCTAGGTTGTCATTACTCAGTATGGGACTACATTAAAACCTTCTTACAGGTGCTTATATTGTGGTTCCACAAATTTAAAGCAAAACTATAATGCATCACAGACCTCATTACTGTTCGTAAATATTCATTCACTTCATCATGAGCTAATGCTACTTGGTGTCTACAAAATGAGAAAATAAAGATCTTTTTACATTTGTAAGAAAATAAAAAAATGTTATGATGAATAGGTCATCCTACCAAGAGAGTGGCTATCAAGCCAACCGACAATGAGAGACCAGTAAACAAGCCTATCAGCTTCAAGGGAAAAGTTAAAAAATACAACACATCTGGATTGTGGTCGCCAGAAGAGGTCTGTCTTGGGAGCTGTGGGAATGAGTCCCACAAGGTCCAATGAGACAACAGAGGTAACAGGTGCAAACAATGAAAGGCCATGGCCTGGAATGGTACCATGAGGATATAGGAGTATAACCCCCATTAATCAAAATATACTGTATATGAACATCCCAAACAAAACAGAAGAAAGCCACTGTGGGTGTAAAACTATGGTGACCATACATCCCCAGTGAAAAGTATAGTATGTTTCATAACTATTTAGAAAATACAGCATCTGAAATTAGGAAACATTTATGAGAAAGTCGAAGATCCTGGATGCAGGTTAAAGCAAAGATAAGAAAAAAAAAAGCTAGCACAAACTGAAGAAAAGTACTTTTAACATATAAAAGAAATAGTGAAACGCTCTACCTACACAAACAAAACAATATATAATTAGTGCAAAAAAAATACACACCAAATTGAATAAACAAATTGCATGAAGTACATATAAAATCAACCTAAAACTCAAAAACACGTAAACTGCAGCCATGCGTTTTCAGCAAAAAATGACAAAACATAAAACAAGCCCACAAACAGTCCCAATGAAAAACATCCATGTCACAATGTGTGTGTCAAACGCTCTCCAAAGTAAACCAATGAGACTTCCCAGTGACACAGCATACATCACCGCAGTGCACTATTGGATGTGCCCTAACCTCCTCAGATGGAACCTCACCCACTATTGTGTTGTGACACTTGTATGAAAATATATTACAATGCATAGTCATGGTTAAAAAGGAAAAAGTACAGCCAAAGTTCTTTTGGCTGTACTTCTCCTGTGCATCACAGGAGTGCAGTTTGTTCTGCACTTCTGTGATCCTCTGAAGCCCGCTGTCAGGTGACACTCAGCAGATGCAGCTTGGGGAAAAATCCCAACTTTAAAGTCAGGATCCACCCTAGAGTCTGGAGTGGCACCTGGCTCAGCCTTTCAGTGATCTGCTGTGAGCTTAAGCCAGCCGCTCCCTCCCCCTCCACAGCCTAGCTCTCCAGTGAGCACAGAGGGCAGAGCAGACAACAGTGACTTATAGTCACTGCTCAGAGCAGCTGTGAGAACTCAGCGATCAGTGGTCATCAGACCAATGCTGCATCCACCTAAGTATGATGAAAATAACATACTACTTTTAATGTTCATATTCGTGTGAATGGAAAACTTGTACAATTCATTTCTTTAAGCCATTATTAGCCTTAGCATAGTTGGTTAAAATACTGCCATCTTGTGGTCATTTTGGTTATTGCACCATCTTTTTCTGTGTTACCTCACGTTTTGTGATGTATTTTCCCTTCTCGCATTGCTTTCAGGAGATAATGACTGCTAGTCACACAGCCACGTTAATCTACTCACATAGGGAATGCATTACCATGTTTTGACCGGCAAATACTGTATTTTCAATCATCTGTCACATCCTGTTGCCTGCTGTAACCTGCTACATTCAATAGTTCTTCATGGATGAGATTACAGAAACCTGGCGTTATGAATCTGACTCTCCCTCTCCTGCTGCCCTCTCCCATGGTGGTCTCCTCTGGACTCACTCTCCCAGGCCTAGTGGACGGAAAGGAGGTGGAATAGGAATCTTCCTAACCCCTCAAAGCACTTTTCAGGTCCTCCAGTCACCTCCCTCTCTGTCCCTCTCCTCATTTGAAGTTCACTGTATTAGTCTGTTCTCTCCAGTTTCTTTAACCACTTGCCTACCAGGCACTTATACCCCCTTCCTTACCAAGCCAATTTTCAGCTTTCAGCGCTGCCGCACTTTGATTGACAATTGCGCGGTCATGCAACATTGTACCCATATGAAATTTTGATCATTTTTTTCTCACAAATAGAGCTTTCTTTTGGTGGTATTTAATCGCCACTGGGCACTTTACTTTTTGCGCTATAAATAAAAAAAGTGCAAAAAATATGAAAAAAAAAAAAAAGTTTTTGTTTCTTTTATAAAATTTTTAAAACAGGTATTTTTTCTCCTTCACTGATGTGCGTTGATGAGGCAGCACTGATGGGCACTGATAGGCGCTGATAGGCAGCACTAATGAGGTGGCACGGATAGGCGGTACTGATAGACAGCACTAATTAGGGGTCACGGATATGCGGCACTAATATGCAGCACTGATAGGCAGCACTGATAGGTGACACTGATTATGGTACTGATAGACAGCACTGACTGGCATCACTGCTGCGGCACTGACTGGCGGCACTGCTGGGCGGCACTGACTGGCGGCACTGGTGGGCGGCACTGGTGGGCGGCACTGGTGGGCGGCACAGGTGGGTGGGCACAGGTGGGTGGGCACAGGTGGGCACAGGTGGGTGGGCACAGGTGAGGTGGCACTGCTGGGCACAGGTAGGTGGCACTGCAGAGTGGCAGAGGTGGGTGCACTGCTGGGCAACGGGTGGGCGGAGCTAGTGGGCGCACTGCTGGGCGGAACTTGCGGGTGGCACTGCTGGGCACCGATCATCAGGGCACTGATCATCAGTGCCCTGATGATCGGTGCCGATCCCCGCTCTGACAACTGCCGGTTCTCGGCAGTACTTTCCTCACGATCTGACAGCGTGAGGAAAGTGCAGCCGAGAACCGGCACTTGCATTTCCCTCTGATCAGCGTGTCATTGGACACCGCTGATCA